CCGATGGAGAGAGACAAAAACACAGATATGAGCAGAAAGAAAAGACACAAAGGACATCGGGGCAATGGTTCTTTGAGCACAAAGAAGAAGAAGACAGAACAGCGGTAAACAAGTGGGACACAAACAGGCAGCTGGAGGTGGGAAGGAAAAACAGGGAATGTGGCAGGAGAAGACGGGCATTAGTGGTACCTCCACAGCTATGCTAAAGTCCACCATGGAAACGCTGGTGTTGCGATGCCAGCAGACATGCACGGTGGTGTTACCGCGATGACCCTGGCGCTCCAGGGACGAGCGCGAGCCGCCAAGCTCGTCCTCAGACTCCTGCTCGCCTCCTCCGTCCTCTGAGAGCTCTGCAAAAAACAGGCAGGTGAAAACGAGGGTGGTTAGCAGGAGAGAACTTCACTCTGAACAGATGCATTATGAGTTCTTCATTCATTCATGCTCCATGCAATTATAAACCATCAAATTATTTTTACAAAGTGAAAACACCTGTTAGAGCAACCACGCTCAGATTGGACTTTACCACAAATATACTCATTTGTGTACAAATCAGGGTCACAGAGGGGTTGAAGCGTATCCCAGCTAAGACACAGAGCCAGACAGTCATTCACACTCCCGTTCCTATCTATGGATAGATTAGAATAACCTTTTAACCTAACATCCATGTCCATGGGCTTTGGTAGTGGGCTCAAAAAACATGAGAACAAAGCCCTTTTATCGTGGGAATCTTTCAGCATCAAAACAATTTCAATAAAGTTTCATTTTAGAAAAAAAGGAAAAGAGAAAGACAAAGAAGCCCTCTTTTGTTGTCACTTGTAAGGCAATACTCTTTAACCGCTTGAGTTAAAAATGAACATGGCATGTGGACTCCAATGACAAATAATGCAGGGTGTCAAACCAAACAGGTCAACGGGAGGAGGCCTTATTGAATAGCTTGACGGATACAACAGGATGAGTAAAGTCAGGGATACCTCGGGTCTGCACCTACATATATCAGGTAACATTAAAAATACGATGAAGCGACCACCTGGACCTGAGTATATTCATGGGGTGCTGAAAGCTGCGGAGGAGGACTGTGCAGTAGTGTCTAACAGGTAAGGTTGATCTATTTTAAAAAGGCCTATAGAAAAAAGCCTCATAAAGAAATGTAGACATGTGGTTAATGATTGATCTTATTGATTTTCTGGTTCCCACAGTCCTGACAGATGTGATGATGATGTGGTGTTTGGGCAGGGAGAAGAATCAATTTAACGTTTAGCGTTAAACCAACAGTAGATGACTTACTGTTGTCAGAGAGGCTGGTAGAGAGCAGGTCATTGTTTAAGCTGCTACTCTGCTCTGCCAGGTCGATGGCCATCCTGATGTCCTCCACCCAGTGCTCCATCTCTGATGTACAGCTGGACACAGCAGGAAGTAGACATGTTAAAATAAACAAGTGATAGGGCATCTCTAACTTCAACAGCTGAGCAGATCGGTTTGGAAAAAAGGCAGAAAATGAGAAGCCTTCATGAAGGGAAATGCATATTATTAAGTCTGCTTCACATGAAACTGCCACTTTACAGCCAGATAAAACTTTTTAATCAGTGACTGAGTAAGTGACTGGAAACTAGGTCACGCAGTCCAGTTTAATTTGAGGATAAGCAAACTTTAACGAGGCTGCCCTCTATTAGACTCAGAACAGCTGTTTTTCCTCTTCCATTCACAATGCACGGTTTGTATTTTTATTCCCCTTTTATTCCTGTCTGCGATTTCTTTGCTTTCATTTTCAGATATCTACAAGCATCTTTGCATGTGTGTTAATGAATACCTGGCTGCCACCACCACAGACTGCCGCTGCCCGAACAAGGTGAACGAATGAGGGACTCCCCACTCCTCCTCGCTTTCTCTGATCTGCGGGAATAACATAATGTCATCATTTAATGTCATAATAACATAATTTCTGTTTACCTAACTACTGCTTTAGTACTTTGGCCATTTCAAAGGTTTCTATGAAATATTAGTTCCTCAGTCAGTAATAACAACAATAATAACAATAACAATAACAATAACAATAATAATAATAATAATAATAATAATTATTATTATTATTATTATTATTATTATTATTATTATTATTATTATTATTATTATGCCGCACAGCAAGAAGGTCCTGAGTTCAATTCCACCATCAGGCCGGGGTCTTTCTGTGTGGAGTTTGCATGTTCTCCTCGTGTTTATGTGGGTTCCCTCCGGGTACTCCGGCTTCCTCCCACCGTCCAAAGACATGCAGCTTGTGGGGATAGGTTAATCGGATAATCCAAATTGCCACTAGGTGTGAATGTG